CTGTGAAGTCGTCATTTTATACCGTGACCTGTAGTACTTCCTCCGACAAACACGTCCTAGAAGCAAGCCACTAATATCGGCCTGAAATTGCGGATCTCAGGCGTTTTCCATTACTACATAATAATTGATAATCTAAGAATAATCATGCGTTTTGCGTTTTGCGTTTTGGTCGGACTATAGTTGCCGTGGTCCGGTTCTGGACCGGTCCACCCCTCCTTTACCTGGACTGTAACCCGGACCTCTTCATACGGTCCGGGTAAAGGAGGGACCTGGACCCGAACCTTTGTGGACCGCTGTTGGACCGGACCTGAGGTCCAGTCCAGGTCCGGTCCAGGTATGACCTGGACCAGTAGAACTTATACTTACAGTCGACTCAAGAGTGTGTCCCTAATGTGAGTAGAGGAGTTCAAGCATCCTACAACAAATAGTGTCTATTCTTTTTTTTGTAATATGTAGCTAGTGCTTTATACTAGACTATTTACAAAGAGAATGATAATGAGTTTTAAGAATTTCAATTGCTTCAAAAGTTTCTGGAAGAAGTCAGTTACACTGCTTTGTATCTACAAGCCCTGCACCTGAAAACACATGCTCACAAGGTACAGAGGAGCCTTGTATAGCAAGGTAATCCTGAGCTATGTGAGCAAGAATTGGATAATGAATACTATTCTCCTAAAAAAGAGTGTTAGTACAAGGAATGAATAATTGTAGTTCAACCCAGTCCAAATATGTAAATTGTAATGCTACAGTACATTTTCCCACAGCTTCATAGCTAATTCTACTGTATTTTAATACTTATTTCTACTACTTTATGTATGTATCAAGTAAGGAGTGAACACCCTGAATTATATGTCAACTCAACTGGGTGTTCTTGTATTAAAATAGAAACATGAGTCCTGGTTCCAGTCCTCAGTCCTTAAGGTCCAGTCTGGTCCAGGAAAATACAGCATTTTCTGGACCCGGAACTGAACCTGTTCTGGACCTGATTGGACCGGACCTATTGTGACCCGGACCTCAGGTTCGGTCCTAGGGTCGACCCGGGTCCATTAGGTCCAGGACCGAACATCAGCAACTATATTTGGTCCTCTCTGTTCATTCTCACATCTGCTCCCCTCAGACCCGGAGTACTCACCACATTCATCCAAGAAAGTTGTCGACCAAATGCAAGAAAATGATTCTAAGAAGCTGAGAGAGTAGATCTGCTGTCTTTTGATTTTAGTAAACAACAGAGGCTCGGTAGCTACAGGATGTATATCAGGAGCATGTCTTTTATTCTACAAAATTAGTGCAAGGTGCTAGATCACATCCTTCCTGTTGCAATAAATTCAAGGAGTCTTACAGTATACTCGGAGCATGACTCACATTAGTACATTGTGTATACCATAATCGCCTCAGGACTAGGAACTTGTCCGAGATAATCATCCTCGTCCACAGCAAATGTCAGACATGCTATGGCTATCACTGCTACTGTACTGGTGTCCCGACTGCCTTGCCCTTCATACTTTGCCTATTCTTCAAGCTGAAAACTGATAATCCTGATGTACCTTCAGATGAAAGCCTCCCATTACTCGGAGTATACACCTGGATAAGAGCTGATGAGGCTGATGACAATGCCCTGTGTACCCTGTGTGTTCTTAAGTCTGGAATGCCGTCTAAATGATTTATACAGTACACAAGGATACTGGCTCCTATTAAAAGAAGCAATGCTAATGAGACTCCCCTTTCTCTGCTTCCTTGACACTTTCAATGCAACAACTTTTGTTCAAATACTGCCAATATTAACCATTGTGTACTTTTACAAGAAATAAATCATCTGAGCCACTTTCTTGACACTGTGGGTATGCATTCTTGCTTTATCTCTTTGTTGACACACATTCTTCCTCCAAAGTCCATACAATTTTGAGGTTTTACATATGACCTTGTGGCTAGTACTAGACAGTACAGAGGTAACCATTTGTGCTGGATCCTTTAAGCTGTCCTAGTCCTAGCATGATGTACCTATGTAAACTACAAACTACATTTAATTGACAAGCTGACAAGCAGTAGTATCTATAAACTTGGTTAATAAAATGTAGCATGACAATATATTAGTAAGACATACTCCCAGGCTGAACTGTTACTACAGGAGCACTTGCAGTATTATTATTCAAGTCCTGGACAGTTACTGTAACCACAGTTCCTAATATAATTTTGAACCATTAGATATGCACAATGTAGGATTGCTGCTAGAGTCTGGGCAGTACCATTTCTAAATGCCTCTTGCCAAAGCATTGACAATACACTAGCACCTGCAACTCCATGTAGGATATTTGCACTAGCTCCCCTGAAGCTGAGTGAAATTTCATAGTGAGGATACAAGATTGATTCAGAAATATATTGAGCTTACAGCTAAGATAACAAGAATTGGTTGAAACAGATCTAAGTATAGTTACAGTACATGCATAACACATCATACTTACAACAGTATAAGCTCCTATAGAGGCAAGTAAATTTTGCATATTAACAGTGATAAGTATAAGCAACATACCAGTACCACCAGTCCAGCTAATCGTTTCATTCTGACACTCTCTCAATAGTAATCTGTAAATATAAAACATTATAGGATGTCAACAAATACACTGGACAGAAGAGAAGAAAAATACAGAGAAATGGTAACATTTGATAATGCGTTCTGAGCTTGAGCAGAGGATGCAACTAGCAGGACAATAACAGTAGAGATTGAAAGTTTCATTACTGTAAACACAAATGAAAAGTATATGGCAACATACATGGATATAGGTACCATTTTATAGTGAATCCTGCTATCAACTATATCCTATATTGCTGTCAATTTCGGCCAGAGAGTGTGCAATAGAATTTATAGAAGACATTTTGGCTATAGTGTGATAATTGTTAATCTTGCTATCAGCACATGTTCTCCTCAGTACATTTCCGTTAAACCCGGCTGGGAGAGAGGGAAGTAAAAATGAACAGCCACTCTACTTGTAGTTACTCAGTAGCCATTCACATATATCCTAGAGACTAACTTGTCAAGCCTTTGACTTATATATATATAGTCTCTTCCAACAGGAAATTCGAGTTGAAAAAAAATAGTTTTGAGTATTCTGGACAGCTAGTAAATCCACGTAGTACACTACTCTGAATCAATTGACTATACAAACAAATCTATCTCTATAATCATATTCACAGTTAATATGATACTAACACTATATACTGTTAATGCTAGCTGTTCCACACAATGTATACAATCTCTGTGTCCTTAGTCTATACTATATTTATCTGAATCTAGATTAGTTTTTCCCCCCCATTATTTCAAGTATTATTCAAAGCAAGACTTACTCTATGTATACAGTATCTTATTACACTCTTTTTTACACTGTATAATATTATTCATCAAATATTTTCAACAGTTAGTTTTATTCTATTCCATCATCTGTATTTCAACATACTCTGACACTATACTGATGATTAAACTATACACTGGTATACTAGTCCACTCGCTCTAGTTCTGATAGCTTCTTCTGCCGCCTCCCTTACTTCTCTGTCTTCTTTAAATTCAAAGCACTTTTTAGCACTCGTTTCAAGCATCTCCTTTGCTGTATACAATCCATGGTCTGGAAGTTCTCCCTTTTCTGTATCTATTTGTTGTCCCTCTGTGTTCTGTACTGTTGTGAAGTAAATATTATTATCATTACATATATCCGAGAAAAAGGCAGGATTACATACACACGAACTGATATTTGAACGGTGTTTCATTTATGTACATCAGATGGAACAGAGTCCAGCCATACTGTTCTGCAACTAAATCCACCAACACAGTTCGTCAGTAACAACGTTTGTAGGAGGGAAACTCAAAGGAGGGCCATACAAATCCTTAGCGCAAGGTAAGTATCTACAGAACCGAGTGAATCTTTACTACAAGGAAAACACAGCTAGTAACGTACTGTCAAGTGATTCCGGGGAAGGCCTTGGGTTAGAGACATACAAAGTTAAGGCCTTGACTGCGTCCCCAAAGGCCGATTCCTTTGCACTATCATGACGGGCACAACTTTCCCAGTCAATAATATCAACACAGTTATTGTTGACATCACGATAGACTGTATAGGTTGGTTCAGAAAATATTATTTCAAGAAGAGAATTGATACTACTAATGAGATTAGTTTCTGCCGCATTATCTAGGAGGTACCATTTAACACCCTGCAGTTCTTGCTTCAGCCTTATTACTAGTAGTGTGAATGAATACCAAAAATGTATAGGGCAAAGAACAGGTCAAGGTAATACACACACTGGTCGAGTTTCTGCTCGTTTATTAGTTTAGGCTTGTTGCTGTGTGCTGTGACGTTCCACATCCTTGTGATAGTAGTAGTAGAGAACACGACTGAGTCGCTGAACAGACTAATCCGATAAAGGGTACTTATATTCAGAATGACTATTTGTCCCAAGTTAGCTATAACTGTGTGCTAATCATCTGATCAAGATCCCTTCCAATTGAACTCAGAACTGTGGTAGACTTGTGTTGAAATCCAATGTGTTCAAGAAGTTTTTCGAGCTAAAGTCAGGAGTTCCATATTAAATGGGACATATACTCTGGTTGCAGCTATACAAATCAGATATAACTCCCTGCTCACCATAACTGCGAACACAGAGAATAGAGTAAAGTTTGAAGGCATGTAGAAATTTAATAGAGTTCGAGTGCAAGCTATTCCAGGCGTTATGAGGCACTGCTTTCTCCTTGGAGTGATGATTATCAAGGATATCTATGCTCGTATCGATACTCCACATGGCACAGGACGTCACGCGTTCCAAAATGAAGGAGAGCGGAGAGGAGGCGGGTTCGGTCAAATCAAACGTACCCCTATTTACTCATTATATGGAGTGTACCGGAAGTGTTAAAATAGGTGATTCTATCGGTAGAGAGTCTCCAAAAATGGTTCCTTTCACAACCAAGGATCCTGAAAATGAGCATGGCGCTTGTAATTACTTGATAAAAGGGAATAAAATTCAAGTTAAAGGATGCATTGATCGAACCTTATCAGTTTTCAACAGGTTGTAGCAGCCACTCTTCTTTGATTTGAATGATTTAGATTGACTTAAGCTTTCTGGCAACAGAATAATCAGCTGAAGCGTGTATGGGACAGTAATGTTGTTTTAGGCAGAGTATTACAAACACTAACTGCCAAAATCTCATTTATATTATCTTTCATATTACATGAATAGCTGGTAATTGTACCAAGGTCTGAAAGTAATTAGTGGCACCCGAGATCCTCCCCTGCCAGAGCACTGAGATTCAAACTCTCTATAAACTTCTTGGATTCTTCGTATTCTTTGTCCACGGTAAAAGGGCTTTTTTTCCCACTCGCTTTCACAAATGCACTTTTTGCGTCGTACCAGGCCTCCATTCTGCTACCAATACTTTGGGTAACAATTGGCTCGTGTCGTCCATTTCTCGGTATAACTGGAAGTACATTTATTTATCAACTAGATTGCATAAATCGGCAAGAGATCGAATTACCTTGTATCTGATGTTTCACTGGGCCAGTCTTGAAAACTATCCAACGCACCGTATAGCCTTCCTTCCAAGCGTCTACGAATTACTGGTTAAACATGCAAATGCCAGAACACAGTGTCAAATCACGCTTACAATGGCGTAGCTCTGTCATATCATCTGATTCTAGTTTTAGATCACGAAAATTACACATGCTGACCAATAACTAACCTGTATAGAGGTCCTTGCTAGGCGGCTGCGACTTCATTATGTTGTAGAGAACCTGGTAGAAGGGATCGACTTGGAAATCGGGCATCTCCTGAACCCAAGTAACAACATCCCAGAACTCATTATTCGATGATTTCTTATGATATACTACAAATTCAATAGACATTATGATTATGGACATTACTGTAACGTTTAAGTTAATAAAGCGAAACAAACTACATACCCATGATACCCTGAGTTCTGTTGTGTCAATTCCTCCCAGGCCAGATCATCCCTGTTCCTCATTACTTCAAACGTCAATATGCAACAAGTAAAAAGTGAAAAGATTAAGTCATGAAGTATGATGCCTATTTAGGTTTGTACAACATACAGGCATAGAACTTTCGTTCATAACGTCCAGGTCTGGCATTACTGTAACATGAGTTGATATGCATAGGCCCATAAGGTATTGGGTAGCTTCCTGATGATAAATTAGCTACAGAAAATAGTTGTCTGAGTTCAAGCACAGGGGGCTTATATATAATTCTGTCATGTGGCCTTGCAGCTGCTGGCCGGTAACGTGAACCTTGAAGACCAATTTGGTAAGACTTCGGCCTACACTCATCCTCTTACAACTCGAATTCATTTTGATTTTACAATCCAGTCCATCTTCACTGATGTCATACTTGCCATTGATAGAATACAAATATACTGGTAATACTAGTTGCCTCGAGGAGTGTGTACAATTTCCATATCTCTCATTGCTCTTGCAGTCTCTTCCTGACCGAACGCTATGTCTTTATCCCATGTAAATTCGTAATTTTTCTTACATTTCTGCAAGAAATACTTCCTTGCATCATGCCATGCTCCGGATTCAGAACATTCGACTGCTGTTGTATACGTTTTGCCATTTGGCTCTGTGACTTTTCAGGTTATAGACATTAACTTGTCGTTCCAAGGAGGAGAAAGCAAGCTTACGCTTGAGCTGATGACTATATGGCCTTTCTGTGGTAATTACGAACCACTGTACATGCCAGCCCTCCTTTCGTGCGACTATACAATAATTCTTTTAGTACGACAGACATTCAAGAAGAGTTCTAAAATATTACAGAAGTGCAACTCAGCAATCTTGTCTGTGCAAGTATTTCAGTTTTTTTGAATAAATGACGAAGACAGTGCCATACTAGTGCTTCTGGGAGGTCTATCGAGTGGTTGTACCAAAGTAATGAGAAACTTGTTAATCTCGGCAAACACCTCTTCCTTTGGATCCCAGCCTCCAGACGTGCCTGCAAGAAGCTTCACCTTATTCTTTTCGTTTGTGGGCCTGTATACTAGAAGAGCGCCACTGTATTAGAACTGGAAACTGCGATAAGGAATGTAGCATACCTAGGAAATCAAAGTCTGCGTTGTTGGGTAGAAACCTGAACTCTGATTTTACACCTGGAAAGTTTCTCATCACTAAAAATTAATATCTAAGTTATTGGATGAAAGGAGAAAGGAATAATTACATTCATGGAATTGTATCTCATGCAGCCCTGGGCCAAGAGGGCGTTGTTGTGGAATGTAAGGTTTACAGCATTTGCTGGTCATCATTGCTTCTATGCGTCTCACTGCAGCCTCATGTCTGTCCGATTGAGTTATTGCGTCTAGCTCGGAGCTAGTGCGAGCACCTGTTGGCTGCATGGGCGGATTTTCCTTGCTTTCCGGTAGAGACGATAAAGCGTCAGTCAAGTGGATAGTTTTATGGTGTGGTCATTTGTATTTGTAGGAACACACGGCATGGAATACTGGGAAAACTTGGCACGATCAAGATGCGCAGGGTCCGAATATGTGTTTGACTGCATCAGACCAGAAGTCAGGTGGTGAATTGGAGTCAGGTACGGGGCACTTTGACACGAGGATAAACTGTAGATACTGTACACGCCACCCATCACTAGTATGCCACTGTATCTAACATGCTGATGCAGAATACTTCTTAGCTGGAGATATCCGAGATGTGGCACTTCCAAGAATTAGCAGACGGAATACCGGGCAGCTCGGTGGGATCTGTACTAGTAGAGGCTAAGCTGCCTTCGGAGTCTCGGACAGTCGGACGGCAAAGGCGGACTACTCCGAAACAGGGTGAAGATTAAGGCTAGTCTGGTATGCATTCAAGACGGAGGTCTGTTCCAGTCTGTTTTGCAAATCCGAAAAGATGATGCAAAGAAAGGAAGAGACCGTCGATTCATAGAGTTACATGACCGGATCCGGAGTGGTCTTCGTGAACGTCCGGGCAGATGAAATTGCAGAGTTGTTGAACGGTAGTGCACAAGGACATGCGTATCTTTGGATGCCATCCGTGATCAGACAATTCAGCACTCGTACTATACCAGTTGGACTATCGGATGCTTTGAACGTGGTTGAAGGTGAAGGATTCCTCGGTCTCCATTGTGTTGAGATGAATTGCCGGCCCTGAAGTCATCGTTGACATTTATCGGAGCTCTTTCTTCCAGACAGACAAGACCTTACGCTTCGTTTTTTTCATACATCTTCAATCTGACTTGAATATTCCCGCCTGCATCGCTGCTTCTGCCCTCAGACAACTCGGAATCTTGCGAATAAGTAGAGAGTGATTGTCTACCCGGTTCCCGAATCAAGGCACACAATTTTTTTCTGCACTGTCAATGGTCAAAACTCAGATTCTCTTCGAGAGATGGGCGTACAAACCTTCGTGTCTAATCATCGATGCATTGTTGTTTGACGATCTCTGCCCAAACGCCTAATCATGATGCCGTCGATGTCAAAGTCAAAATCTTGCTTGGACCGCACAGTTCAGACGAGGAGGATCGGCTCTTGCGCCATTGATTGACGTGCTTCGAGTTGAGCTTGTCCGCCGCCGTTCGGTTGTGTTCAATCTGCGTGATAGATGTCATATGGCTTACGGTGCTTTCTTCGTAGTTTGACGGTCTTAATTTCTTCGTATGAACCCCGATGCTATTGGGAAGATGAGAAGGTACTGTAGAAGAAACCTTCGTCGTGGAACTTGGATGATGTCATTGCTGGTCAGTTTACTTCGCCCATTTTCTTTCTCCTCTCTGTATGAATACTGACTGACGTTCTAGTTTGTTCGCATAGAAGATGGTTTAAGCTTTCTTCGAGAAGAGAATGGGCCACTGACGATGCTTAACTGAAGATTTACATCTTCAACACCTTCCGTCATTCACATAGAAATAAGTGCTTGTCGACTTGCTCGATTGCCTATGTCGACCGAGCTCGCCGGGCACAGACCTGCGGTCTGGACACGCGTACATTGCTTCTGTCGCTCTCGGGCATTGATCCTATCCTGATCGAAGTACGATCCAGCCCGTTTCACGAGCGACTGTAAGGCAGGTTCGGTGGAAGGGAACCCAGAGTTTGTTGTACAGCCTTTAGTTCGTGCTCCGAATATGGATATTGTGCATTTGTTCAAAATATTGTAGGGCAAATTCTTGACATATGTCGCATTGTCTGCATTCGGCACGTCATCCAAACACGCACAAATGCGACCTCCTCGAGAACACATAAGTCGAACGCGTCTTCGCCTTGTCCCCCATCCGTATCACAAGTAGTACGGCATTCCCGTCCTCTCGTTTTTCGTAACTTGTCTTCTCGTCCCATTCCATTGTGCAGTCGCGCACACTACGTTCATTACTTCACTTCTCGAGCCCACATTCACTAAGTCGTCTGATCCGTCATGAAACTCTGTCTTCTTCCACTCTTTGCCACCGCATTGCCGATTCTGCTTCTGCAGCATGCAACCCCAGTAGATGCAGCGGCGCTCTGCATTCCGGGAATCTATTGCCCAGATTGGCCGTCATCGGTTCCACCTCCAGCGTGCTCTTGCACTGCCGGGAACGGTGGACACGGTAGTAGCAGTTCGGCGAGTGGCACGACACATCACCACCACCACCATTCGTCGTCGTCATCCCCGTCCATGCCAGTCCCAACCTTCTCTACGGAGCCAGAGCCCACCTCGACGCCCTGGCCAAAGCCGATCCCGAGACCAACTTCGCATACTTCCTCTACAACCGTTACGATACATACAAGCAGAAGCACGCCTGTTACAACCTCTTCGATCGAGACTACAAGCTACTCGTCCAGCCACGAAAACCCACCGGCAACGACGACGGTCACAATCACCAGTCAGTAAAACTTACTAACTTTATGCGCTTTACAAAAAACATAGTTAATATATTCGTGTCATATCAGGTGGACCTGCTCCCAGTAGTGGTTCGTGCAATACCGGTCCCGTTCAGTGCTGCAATAGTGTAGAGCCAGCATCGTCCGAGAATGCATCAAAACAGCTAGGGCTACTCGGAATCGTACTCCAGGACGTAAATATTCCTATCGGTATTACCTGTAATCCCATTAGTGTGAGTCCAAGTCGTGCACGATCTTGTACATCTATGCTGATCTCAAACTGTTAGGTCCTTGGCCTTGGCTCTTCCGGTACTTGGTTCGTAGTTTTACTTTTTGTCTCTTTCGCGTGTGAATTAATGTCGTTTTCTTTGCGAACAGTAACGCGCAGACAGTCTGGTGCGTTATCTTTCATTGCTCCCACTATTTCTCCTCAATTTACGCCTATCTACAGCTGCGAGAACAACAACTTCAACGGACTCATCAACATCGGATGCACGCCGATCAATCTTGGTCTTTAGACGTTCTTCACGGGGCTCGTTTTCCCTACACAGGATCCTTGGGCTTCCTGGGACAGCACACACGGACGTCCCCGTTTTGATACACGCACTAAAAATGCTGTTCGACCTGCTTCGACGCGGTCTTTCTTGCACACTCTTCGTACTGTACTTCTTTATTCGAACTATACCTGTCTTTCCATTTTCGAGTCTCTCGTTTGTCGTATTGTTTGTAGCCACAAATTACACTGTTTTATTTTAAATCATTTTAATGCACTTCCGCAAGATTACTGTTGACTCGACGCGTAAATGGTTTGTCAGTGCGTGGTGTGATGGATTGCTTCACTGAATTGACTAGTATTCTGTGTTGGATCAACGTGGATCTACCATACTCTTGTTCTTCTGACCATGGTAGGATCTTACGCTTGTCAGCAAAGCTCCTGTGAGTCACAGTGAGAAAACGACCTTCCAAAACGCGAGAAAGTAAAGTCAAATGTACTACAGATTGTAATGCTACTCTTAACTCAAAATACGTATCCTTTTCATAAATATTCATGCTACTTGTTTAATTTAACACATGAGAATCATATTTTACAGTTCTCACATAAGTCTATATATCCTTTATTTCATTCTATATCTATTCTTCTTTCTATTCCTTTGCCTGACTTTAATGTTGTACATTACTTCTAGGCTCCAGTGACAGGCTTCCTGGAATGACTTCTGGACACATCTCTAGATCTAGAACTATTGCGACTTGTACTAAGATAAGCATTTCTATGGTCTCGTCCTCGGGGTATTACTTCAATTACATTAGGGGGTGTTCTAGGACGTGATGGTGTTTGTTGTTCTTGTCTGTACTGTGAGTGTGATTGTTCGTCTCCTGGTTGCTGTTGGATGTTGATTGGATGGCTCTTCTGCTGTTGATGACTGCTAGACAGATCCTGTGTTGTCCTATCTGGTCCAACTGGATCAATTTTAAGAAACGAGAATGTAAGCTCTGCTAAGTTTTCCTATTGTAATTTCCATTAGACTGCTGTTCTATTTTCAAAATTGTGCTTACTGGATTGTAGCTGAGTAGCACTTGTGGAACTTGGCTAAATCTCTTCAAATCACCCTCTAATTTCATCTGAAACCTGTTGAAGATATTACTGACTTTAGTCATAACTAAAACTGATATAATACTAGCAAATTTACCTAAGACTTTCAAAAGCAAATATAAAATCGACCCTATAATACTTATCTTTAAGAATATGTGGAACTAGTACAGGCTTCAAATTGAGATATTTATCAAACTGGACTGTGCTTAGTATTCATACCAATAATCTTTTCCCAAAACTAAATTTGTATTAAATAAATTCATTTTCGATTTGTATGACATTATACAACATACCCATGTTAAAGTTCCAATAGGCCCAGGTGAAGTTCTCTTTGAAGGATCAAGTCGTTCTGGTTCCTTTTTAGATTTCTTTTTGTTAGCTTTAGGTGTTGATTTCATAGTATATGATGGTTTGTTATGTTCTGATGAAGTAAGTACAATCTTTTAAAATTAATTAAATACAATGATTCAAATATTCAGGATTCCTGCTTACAACACTACCAGGCCCCATCTTCTCAGTCTGAGGAGATCTGACACTTTGATACTCCTGATCCACAACTTTAACCTCACCATTGTTACTATATTCTAACTATAGCAAAAATAAGTAGTACTCTAAATAGGTATAAATGTGTTACACACTTTATATGGTAACCCTTTATACCTGATTAAAAGATACTCATATTATATAGATTAAAGAGTAACTTACTAAAGATCCAAGCAGCTGTACATGACTATAAAAAGAGTTAGACATAGTTTAATCAAAGTATATTTTCTTACATCAATTATTATCTAATAATAAGGTCAGAATATATTATCAATAAAAAATTTAAGACATACAAGTAACTTAGATTCAGGAATGTTCTTTTTCCAGAAAGGTTTTAACTATATATTTAAGTTAGTAATACTAATTATACTTTTATAATATATTATATACACAATGATTATATATTGTCTAAAATAACAAATAGTAAATAAATCTTAACTTTAAAATTATTCAGAACTTACATCATCATCAATAAGTACTGGCTCTTTCTTATTATTTAGAGCATATAACACTAAAGTATTAATTATAGTAATAAAAGTAACTTCAAGTTATATATATATTATAGACTTACTTGTTTCATATTTTTTTGAACTTTTATTATAACCACTTTCACAATGTCCAGAAACTAGTTTAAATCTTAGAAGTTATAGTATAAAGGAGGGGAAAGGAGCATACAATATATAAATGTATTAGTATATTTACATACAGTTACTACTTGCATCATAGTTGTTAGAATATTTTCTTTTGTTGGAAATATATATTCTCCTTCTTGACAGTCATCAGTTATTATAGTTATATCTTTTGGTGTCCATGAACAAGCTATAATAAAAAAGTAATTAGTAATTCATTAGTTATAAATATTCTAATATATTAAAAACCTTTCAAAAATTCTTGTATCTTGAAAGCATCATGCATCCCTGCAACTGAACCAATACTCATATCAGCTGCTATACTAATCTAAGTTCATTATTAATTAGAACCTTTTTTTGTGAAATAATATATATAAACTATTTCTAACTTACTATCAAACTAAAACAATTATCTCCTACAAGATTAATTATTGATTGTTTGAAAGATTTAGTTATAGGTTGTAGTAGAATCCCAGGATCCTGTTCTTTAACTATATTTTTACTTGATCCTATAGTTTGTTTATTTGTAGAGATACAACCCCCTTTATTCTGAGCTAAATTAAGTTATAAATACTTTAAATTATTAAGTCTTTAAATATTCCTATAAGTTAAATACCATTTTTATTATAGTTACTCATTCTGTACTAATAGATATTAATAAGTTATAGAATAATATATATGTGAATATTAATCACTTTATAAAAATAGTCTTACACTTGTACTTACCTTGTATTGATTCTAATTACTTGTAACAAGGTGGAAACAATTAGATGAAGGTCTAGAATGTCAAAACATTCAAGCCTTTATACAGTTGAAAGAATATTCAGGCTAACTATAATAACTCATTTGCACATTCAAACATATAATAGCAAATTCTTGAAGTTTATTTGATTATCAAAAGTATGAAACTCACAATACAAATTAATTCTTTGAAATAAGTATTTGAACAGTAATGTATACTACTACTTAAACAGATCTAGTACTATAATTTCGAATTTGGGTTAGGCACAAACTTATTAAAAACAAATTCAGATATATAGTAGTCTAATATAAAGGAAGTTTCCGAAAATTCCGGTTCTCCGAACAATCTGATGTAAGATGTATGAATCACAAGATATAAGACAGCAAAGTAAACTTCTACCTTACTATCGATCCAAGCTGATCAAGGATTATAAAAACAGTAAGAAGTTACCAACATCTGTTGATAAGCTAATCATAAAGTTTACCACTGACCTGTAGAAGATATGGCACGATCACAGCCAAACAACAGTGTTAAGGAGTCACAAGCACAAGCAATAGCAACTGAAGTCCGTGAAGGGACAGGCACACATGAGAGAGCGTTTACCAGATGTGAGTCACATCTAGTACAAAAGGTCGTACTGTAACTATTCTTAACAAGATGAGACTTGCTTTAGGGATGAAGGCAAATTTACCTCATATTAAATGGGTTGTAAGGAAGAGTGCCGTAGGTGGCACTTCTAGTCTGATAGGTAAATTATACTATTCATTAGCACATGCACTGTTTTCATCTGAACAATATTTTGCAGTTTATGAGAGTACAGAAGATCCGAAGAAATGGATAACTTACCTTTGGAAGAGCCTTTGTTTTGTACAAGAGGAGCTGGAAGACGCTTATGAATACGCCTTTGGAGTGATGAAAGCATTCGTACAGCCAACAGAGCAACCTTTAACTTGCGAAGGTTTGTAACTGTCTTTATCCTACTGTAGTCCTAAAGACTTACCTGCATTCGACAGATACTGTTGCTGAATTAATGTTCTGTACGTTGAAACTATTGTATCACAGTACAAGCTGAACGCACTTACTTGCTCCTCATATCCACCAGATGCCAGAAAAGAAGGTTATATAGTTCAATGGATTACATCCATGCATAATACACCACACTTGAATCAATTCATCAGTGAGTCCATATTCAATGTTCTGATGAATGAAAGAAACTGAGTTCCATTACATTCTTTACAGTGACAGGTCCGGATGGATATAAGTTCGAAACCAAAGTCACAGCCTGGTATCCGACCTGTTGGAAGGAGACCAAGACTGAGCTTGAAAGGATCACAAATAAGGACTTCGGATTTACTTTCGATAAGATAAATAGGGAGGTTGCAAAGAAGATTGCAGAAGAATTGAGGGAAGCAATAAACACTCCTCAGAAAGAGTAGTGTTAATTGTGATGTGTATTGAAACGTGTACATAAGTAATAATGATAATGACAGAGTATATTGAACATTTTGATAGCTAGTATATTTAAGAACTGTTGGCAAACTTTTGAGAGTAATAGTAGAGTTGTACATGTCAATTGTAACTATAACAAGAATGAGTGATTTCCTAGCTCTAGATTTCTTTCATGCTTTGAGTAATAGCAGAGTTGACTCAGGTCTTACAAAACAGACAAATCAGATATTTTAATATAAAAACTGATAATTATATTCTTCAGAGATCCTAAAATTGTTGTTAGAGTATATTGTACTCACTACAAAAACTGTATAACAATCTGTAAACTACATATATAAATATATAGTACTTAATTCTTTATCTAGTTTGCCTGCTATTAAGACATACTAAACATAAGGAGAATATGTTAGAATTTTACATTTATGAAGGCCACTTTACTGTACACTAATAGATTAATTAAGTACAAAGTTAGTTATACAGATAAAAATATAATACATAGATCTTAGATTAGCTCTAAATTTGCTAAAGATGAAAAGTAAGCTTACTTGAGCTACTAACTAGCTAGAGTGTAAAGGACTAGACTGAGTAAAATGTTTAAATGCTATACAAATGTAAGTGAGTCTAGTAAAGTAATACTGTGAATTTTACAGACTTTGAGTTGTATAAATATTAACTATTTTAGAAGAATACACACTTCCTTATAATTTTGAAAATTGTGAGAGATCTGTATAATCTGTGTAGTATGAAAAGTATTAAAGGTAGAGTATCTAATTTTGTGGATTATGTCTTAACAAATATTAGTTACAGTATCTTGACTATAGAGGTTAACAAGTATTGTATGTTATATTTATTTATTTGTACTGTAAGCCTGTGTTAATTTAGCAGTTGCTAATATTTGAATAGTAAGAACAGATTAGTGTTAAGAGTATATACAAAGAGATTTATCTAATATATACAGTACTAGTACTCAGCTGTAATATTAGTCAAAAACATGTTTCTTTTGTAACAAATACAAGAAACCTTGTACTAATTTTAGACTCTATCTTTTCATAAATACAAATGAATAGTGTATTTCTAGTTACTATAGTCAGTTGTATATTTTGATTCTGTGTGGACACACTCAGAACACTTCAGATAGTGTATTACTAATTGGACAGTCTTTAAGTAGTTATTGTTTTGATTTTAACCAAACTTACTAATTCTCTAGTCTTAAGCTTCTTTGTCTCCAATACATGTTATAACATGTAGAGATCAATAGATAATATTATATCTGCTGAGTCAGATGGTAAAGGTCTATTCTACAACACTTGTAACTATAATATAGAGTTTTGTACTCCTACTCTGTCAAAGTCTCTCTATTGTAGTCTTTACTCCTGACAATCTTGTTTGTTAGTAACTGTACTTTACCACATACTTAGTCTGTAGAAATGTTCACTTATACAGATTGTAGAGATTTTAAATTGATAACTGTATTGCAAATTGAGGTGAGAAATGTAGAAGTATTTGCAAACTTTATGTCCACATTGTCCTGGCAAGGAGGGATTCATCAAGATTGCAACTTCAAAGTAATTCCAATTGCTACTCACATTCTTAAGACTAGGAGTTTCAGATATTTAATACTAATTTTTTTCCTTTACACACTTGCAACCAAATAGCATCAAACAAGGGGCAAGCATGTTCAAATTTCATTTGTATGAAGATAATTAGCAATATATTAACTAGTGCAACAATGTGCAAAGTTGGTTATACAGATAAATGTGCAATTTGCTGATTTCCAATTATGTTTTGACTGCTGAAAATAGATGCAAATTTAACTGAGGCACCGACTGACCGAAGTGCGGAGCAGAGAACTGGATCGATCAGAGTATACTGTATATTACAACTATGTAGGTAATTCTAGCAAAGTCTATTTGATATGGCACACACTGGAACAGTAACAACTCCAGCTCTTCAACAACTATCCTTCTATTGGCCAACATGTGGATTCTATATACTCTCAGACTATTCGGAGGATCAGAAATTCTGGAGCAGTTCAGGCTGGTATACAATACAAAAAAATGTGTGGGCAGTAAATAATCTTTGTAGCATACAAGATACTGAGGTCACAGCCTTTCCTTATGTATACAGACTGCAACTTGGCTGATAGTGATTGAGGAACAGCATCTAGATAGATTGTATTTATCAAGACATGTCACGTCTATTCATTTGTTATTGTAAGTCTGGGTATATTTGGCCGTTATTAAGGTATGAGCAATGAGAAGGTTGAATATTAATGCAGGGACTTAGGCAAGCGAATCTGATCCAGCATCTGTGGTGCCAGCAAAAAATTTCTACAATAGCCAAGGACATGTCTCTTTCACATCAACGTCTGGTCTAGTTGCTTATTGAACAACTCTTCCATACTTTTAATTAGCACTTGTAATTGATTATTACTGTCATATAACACGTTTTGTACCAGTGCTCACAGAAAAAAATTTAATATAATGGTTCGCCAATTCAGAATGTATTTCAATCTCAACCGAACATGCCGAATCCCCGCTCTTCTTCGCTCCGGACACATGCTACTCTGTAGAGCTATCGATTATCATGCCGAGAATCAGATGGCATTATTGTGGCAATGCCTTCCCTGTTGCTTTTGTGGCGTCCCACACTCCTGGCATCCTCGTGTGTTGTCAAATGTACTCTTCCTCGTGCCTTACCTGCAAAAAAGCTTGTTTTTGTACTCCTATGACTATCAATTAACATCCTCCGTCCCTGGATTAGTTCGTTCCTATCCTGAAACTGATCCCAGGGGGGGGGGGGGGGTAAAACCAATATTAATACAGGACTAAACAATTCGAACTTGCTGACACGGAACGCATACAACTCAATCCGAGCAGTTCTCTATATAACAATTACTCTGCATTTGATCTGCATGCGGGAAATATACACCTAACGTATAATATTCCTGCCTGAAATTGATTGATTGCTATAAGTTTGTTGTGTTTCTATCTGAATCTAGTGCATCCCATATCTCATTTCTGATAGTCAGATATACATTTCAGGCAGGCACAACATGCCAGACTCAGGAAGTCCATCTTGTCAAGAAGCTCTAACGAGCCAAGCCACCACACCAGTACATAGTAGATCAGCCAGTCCCATCTTTGCTAGTTGTGGATATTGGGAGAAAGAATGCAATGATTGTAACATTCAGCCTTTTATTGGCATGACAAGAACACTGACCACTGACTGATGTCATCTGTTTTCTTATTTCACATTCAGTGATACAGAAACATCCTAACGTGTTCTATGATGTAGAAATTGAAAGACTGGCTGATGAAGGTGGGGACTTGAGCCTGATGGGTGAAATATTCTTCCTACATTTATAAATGTCACATTTTAACATCAGTTTTCCTTTTGTAGTTTACAGGAATATCAATCCTTCAAATGGTGTTCGAGAAATTCTATGTTGGGATTTTGCTAGGACAGACTCCTTCACTAGGGACACTACATTTGAAGATATACTCAAGATTCTGAAGATGCAGCTCCCAGGCACAACTCATGACCTTGATGTTAAAGGTTAGTGCATGGTTTTGGGAGGAGAAGTAAGCTAATAATAACAATCTAGATCCTATTGCAGAACTTTGTTATTGCAAGTTTCATTGTGTCTTATTATACAGTTGAAGTGTGAATAATATATCTATCACAGATGCTGCTAAAGAGAAATACAGTCTACAATGGCTTTGCTACAGTAAGGGTGATTCCAAGGAACATAAAGTCATTCTGAGTAAGCCTGATTTTTGCAAATATAGTGGATTAACATATTCTAATGTATTGACAGAGAAATTAAATGCCAATTCTCAACCCACAGGCGAAACTATAACTGGAACAGACGAATTTGAAACCAATGCATGTTATAGAGCTAGAAAGCAGCTGCAAGATAAGTTGCATAAGAAATTCAAATTCTATAGAGACAGGGTAGTAGACTGAATGGATTGTGAAGGAGTTACAGTAGAAATTTGAATTAGAAGACAGGCAAGAATTGCTAGGTACCATAGTATACAAACTGTTAAATGAGAGTTGTATATGAATGAAATATAATAGGATTATTGAATTACTCATATAATCCCAACAGTCTTTCTTTTATTATAATAAAGATTTTGTGTAATATAATTGGCCAACTACTGTACTTGAGCTGCAAACCTTGCTACAACTTGCACTCTAGCTCTGCTAAAGTACAGTACAAATAAAACAATTCTGTTCTGGGGGACAGTTGATCAATTAGCCAAAATATTATTAGTAAAAAGTCTTAATCCCTGTATTTACATATATGGTATAAATTATATAAATTTTGTAAATTCGATACAGGTAAATATTTCAAAGTTTTACATATGTTAGTATAAGGGAAAATATAAGTACTATATCTCTTATTACTATTCTCAAGTTATATAGTCCTTATTAATCTTGGGGATATGTACAAGTAAATATATCAATGTAAGATTCAAATATTGTCCAATAATACTTGTATTTAAGCCTGATATACAATATAATATGTACAAGGCATTATAAGTGTATCTAAGTTTTACAGCTTGTTAATATATTTTTCACTCATTATTATTATAGTTGTTTGTACAATTGTAATAAATCAATTATATTGAAAGAAATATGTAAATACAAATAAACTATCTAATAACAACCCCTAGACAAGGAAGAATGCGTTCTCGGGCTGTTTGATGTAGTCTTCGTCACCACGCTTTGGGTGTTGCTTAGTCCCTGCAAGTTGAATTGCATACGTGTGTGAATTGAAGTCGAGCAAGTTGTGGAGGTTCAGGTTGCGCCTGTGAGACGAGTTTAGCGCGATTAGCGAGTGACAATAGGAGAGAAAAGATGGATGCACCGTGACAGTGTGTAGCGAGTGTGAGTGATTCACCTGAGTTGAAATCCGTGGCGTTGAACGAGTTAATTTGGGCTGCAGGGGAAAGCATGTCTGTGCGAGTGTGTTGCATGCTCTAGCTACAACGTGCAATCAGAGGTGCAGTGAACTCACTAGTAATTGTGGATGACTTCAAATGTGTATCTCTGGGAGGTTCTGGCTCGAAGGGAGAGGGTAAAGTAGATGATGTGGACGGACTCGGCTCAGGAGGGGTGAGCGGTGGCCACCGCTTCTGTTAGTCGAAATGGTGTCATCTGCAACACTGGGGAATGTTAATACAAGCACAGTGGACCTGTCAAGAGTGATGTCAAGCATGGAATGAATGGAGTAGTAGGACACGTACGGCGTCGGAGAGAGGGTGGTACCATAGGAGTGGTCGTACATGGACATTATCGCGAGCGTGTGCTCGTCGATTATTGCTGCGCTACAGAGTGGGAAGAAGTATGCGAAAGAATGGAATTATTGAGGAAGTCGTTCGGAATTGGTCAACAATGCGGATGCGCAAATGTGAATTCAAAAGGGAGACGAACGTAAAAAAAGGAGGACAACGAAGGGGAGGCAACGCAAGCGGTGGGACAAGGAGCAGAAGGGATGGGAGACAAAAAGTAGGGGGGAGAGGGATGAGCAACTATTGTGCAAGTTATTACGAAGTGGACTGGCCTCTTACACTTTACGTTGAAGGACGGTGTAGTCAGCTGGGTGACATCATTGCAAGATGTAAGGCTCAGCACAGGCATTGCAGCAGCAGATTGGAGAGACGGGTGCAGCGATGTTTATTGTCTTGGTGAGACGCTTGCAAGCGGAGGACTGGACCGGAGGGAACGAAAGCGACGACAAAGTGTTGAGGGCAGAGAGATGGGGACGGTTGAAGAGAAAGAGTGACACGCGTAAGTGCGTCATTATATTCTCTCGATCTTCAGCATTTGATTACATAAGTGAGTGATCTTATATATATCCTTGAGTTTGTATGTACAAAATGAGTCCTATATTGTAAATACAACATAATAAACAGGTTACTGTAGATTTATATTCAACTTGAAAATCATTTAGCCTTTCACAAGATAATCAGAGTACATTTAGTATTATTATAAGCACTTAAAAAGTATTTTATTTATTATATATACTGTTACGGTTCTCTACTCTCGCACCCTCAGTTCTGAGGGTTCTGCACCCTTCTGTACTGGAACTCAGGACTTCTGTCTCTTGGAGACACTGTCTATAGACTACATGCATACTGACTCTTACTACTACCCCTCCTTACTTCATCATTCTGTTCCTTTGACCACCCCTTCATTCTTTGTTCATTCTATAGTCTCTTACCCTTTGTCCATCCCTTCATTCTTTGTACCTTTATCTTTGACCTTCCTTTCTTTCATTCTTTGTAGCTTATCATTCTTAGTAGCTCATACTCTCTGAGTACTCTTGTGTAGTTTAGTATATATAGGTGTACAAGGTCAGACTGGTCCTGTAGTCTTGATCTTGTCTACTCTAGGTAGTCCTGTACTCTTAGGCTCACTCTATATACTCTACTCTTGTCTCACTCTCTCTCTCTCTGTCTGTTCTGTAAGTTCTGACTATGTTCTAGTACTTACATTCTGTATTTCTGTTGTGTAGGATAGTTATAGTCTGGGTCCCCTTGCTGAGCCTTTAGGTCCCCTCTACACTGTTGCTGACATTAGATTAAGACTACCCATTACTACCCTACAACTCTCCTATGTTTCAAGTATTAGTACTCACTGTTGTGTTAATCTCTTTACTTTGTCCCAACCCTTTTACATTTTTAAATTTTAAACTTTCTAAACCCTTTTAAACTTTTGCCACCCTTCTTCTATTCATTACCCCTTTTAGTTTAGTGTTGATTTCTTTGTAGTGTAAACATAGACTCTCCTACACTAACTGCCACCCTTACTGTCCTACCAGATTAGTAGTTGTAAGCAGACCTAACTTAATATGTGTAGACCTCTATCTAAGAGGCCTTTACTAACTATGTACCTCTAGCCCTCTCAGAACCTGTTCTAATTGTTTTAGAAGTTGTAACCTGTTCTAGAAAGAAAGTGTATGTAGTCTACCCTTTAGACTTTAATGAGTAGCACTTTAAGGACTTCTAGTACCAAGTCAAACTATATGTAGCTACTATTTTAACTAATCTATTCTCAGATCTTGATTGTGTCCTATTTGTCCTCTCCTTCATAAAGGAAGGCAACACAGCCACCTGAGCTTAGAACTAGATTGAAGGACATTAGATTAGAAGCCTGATCCAACTTTAGAACAATGAGTTGTATTCAGAATTTATAGGACAGCTCTGTACTTCCTTCATTAATCTGAATAAGAAGTATAATGTGTAGAACAAGCTTACATCTTTGTAACAGAACAAATGTTCTACTAATACCTTCTTTCAGGAGTTTAATATCCTAGCCTAGAAGGTAGGATTCATACTCAGGTTTGATAATGTTCTTATTAGAATGCTTGAGAAAGCTCTCTACTCAGAACTAGTTAATAAGATTCTTAGAATAATACTAGAACTAATTACTTACACTGAGTAGAAGATACACACTATTTCCTTCAACCAAGCTATAGCTCAAATGTATCAAGTCTGTATAGAACACTTACACATGTGTCTGACTCTAACAGTTCTAAGCCCTCAGATTAATCTGTCTGTAATTTACAATTAATCTGTTCTAATAAACATTAGAGAAGTCTGAAAGTAAGGAGTATACTTTACTTATAGAAAGTCAGGACACTAAATTAAGGACTGCCTGTAGAAGCAACAGTATATTCATTAGGTTATTAGAGTAATAATGAGTAACAAGTAGGATTTGTAGTAAGAAGCCTTTTCTACAAATCTGGAAGTTACTTTAGAACTCTCAGACCCTGACTACATACTTTAGGATTTTGTAGAGGCCTAACAGTAAATGTAATACTGAATGGTTATGACTCAGATTTTTTAACAGTCACTTTTGATTCAATAGACACTGTAGGATTAAAAGTAAATAAAGTAGAAAAAGTAGAAAAAGTAAATTAACAAAATTATTTATTAAAAAGAAAAAAGTCAAAAACAGAAGTAGATAGTTCTCTTATTTCTTCTGATTCTTTTAATTCTTCTCTTTACACTTTATTCAAGTCTAAATCTGTATAATCCAACCTACTACTTTTGTGTTCTAAGATCTTAGAACATTCAGAACACTACCTAGCCCTGTTTACTACTCAGTAGTTTGTCTATAGTATTAAGTAGGGATAGTCTCAGCTAAGTTTACAGTTGAGGACATGAGTCTGTCCTTGTTGAAAAAGAGAGGTTAATAAGGAAATGTTAGTATATATACTTACCCTCTTAGACAACAAAGCTGTACAAGCTGTACATTCCCTTTAGAACAGTAGCAATTTATTAGAGAACACTCTAAACACTAGC